ATTTATAGTAAAATAGATTAGGTTTCATTATTACGTCCCATAAAGAAAGACATTCTGGTCCCCATTACACCTGGGATTAACACACTTTTCTTATCCAGATAGTATTGTGTTATTCTTCAGATGGATTTCATTTACATCTTCACTTCAATGCATGTCCAGTATGACTGAACAGAGACCCAAATTAACTTAACCTCAAGAAATGTAAAATGGCACTTACATATATCCAGAGGTGGATGTTGGGGTAATTTTTCTAATATTATCTTTTTTATTATATTTTTTAAGAAGTTGTTGAATTATGTAGTTAATGAGAATACCTATATATTTTGAAACAAACAAACAAACAAACAAAACGCCAACATTCAAAGCAATGGCAAAAAAATAAAAATAAATAAATAAAAATAAAACACTAAAAAATTGTTTAAGCAGGAAAGGAGGAAGATGCAAAATGTGTGTATTACAATGTTGTCTCCCATTATTGGAATTGAATTTTTTGCCAAGGATGTGCAAAATGTTCTGATGGTGACTGCTTTATTTGTAAAATACACCTGTACTAACATTGTAGATATACTGTACTACATGCAATGCTGGACACATCTGATAAAAGACCTTATAAAATAGCAAACTGATTTCAAAAACAACAGAAAACTGTTTACCATGCAGAAGTTGTTATTTTCTCTTGCTATATCAAATGTATTTGTATATGGTGGCAAATTGTGCCCCATAACTGCAATTATATGCTATATGTAAATCACTTTTAAATGCATGGAATACCTGGATGACCCACAACTACATCTGACTACCAAAGAAAGTGAGACTCCCTACAAGCATGCAGTATGAAAATCTGTTGCCTTTGTTCATGGCTCAATTCCGGACACAACTGCTTTTAAGATAATCGACTGAACTAAAAATCCACATTCATGACTGGGTTGACTTGCTAATGGCACCACAAGAAAATTCATTTAGTCAGAATAAATGGCTGTCTAAAAGGCTACCATGAAGCAATTTAGTCAGGAACTATTGGAAACTTCTAATCCCTAGCACCACCTAGTGAAGAGAGCACGGTTTATCACATGCATGCTTACTTATAATGGCATATTATTTATTAGTACATGCACATTATAAAAACACAAACCACAACATCGTATCCTCAACCATTCAAACGAACAGCTAGTTTAAAGCTACACTGTAACTCTTTTAGTTTATTCTTAACTAAAAACACTTAGTTCTTTCAAAAATATATGTGCTCATTAATGTATATTTACTTCGTTTAAGTAATAAAGTATTCTCGTGAGTGTATAATATGCCATAGAAAATACATACGGGTAAGGGGTTCTAATGTCGTCGACATGTTGCCACTCCATCTTGAAAGTACATTAGCCAAAGAGGGACATACCCGTTAATTCAAGCTTCGCCTTTCGCGTTTATGTTTGAGTTAACACTCATGGACGAGGTCGAACTGGAAGCCATGTTAATCTTGGACTACATTGGCCACCGTAGGAGTTATTCACTGGATGGTTATATACCTTTTCACCGCTAGATGGAGGGAAAAAATCAAAACATGATAAGGGAGTATTTAATTGGCCTTGTATTACATGACAATATAATTCTGACAATGTATGCAAATACAATACACCCCTATTGAAATCTGGCGCAAAAGAGAAAAAATCTCCGAAGGAGGAGGTGAGACAGGGTCATGCTCACAAAACAAAGGCTCTGGTGAGACTGAAGAGAAGAGCAGAGCTGTCTGAATGTGTCTGTCTCATCATTGTGTCCTGTCTCAAAGGACTAGATAGACTGCATCAAGCTCCCCACGGCCACAGTCTTTCAGAAAGTGCAAAGAATGTGTACCCGTGGGAGAGAAAGTTATTCTGTGCTGAAATTCAGATTGCATCGAAGCCCTCTTGACCCACATTCGTTGAACTTGATATCAAGATATGTAGAAAGTCAAAATGTGTCCATTATTTTCAAGAATAATCTGGAAATAATCTGGCAACTCAAAGATTGGAAGCAGTTAATTTAATATTTGGATGTCTGTAATAAGACGATAGTTCATCAAAAAAATTAAATTCTGTAATCACCCTAAAAACACTCAATTTACTCACCCTCAGGATATTTCCAAACCTTTATGAGTTTCTTTCTCCTGGTGGACAAAAAAAAAAAAAAAAAAAAAAAATCTTCGAAATATCTTCTTTTGTGTTCAGCACTCGTACAGGTTTGGGGTGAGTAAATGATAACAGATTTTTCATTTTTTTGGTGAACTAAGTTGGTTTGGTACAGAGTATTTTTGTAAGATTTACAACAACAAAAAATCATATCAAAATATTACAAATTAGTATAGTAATCACAATTATAGTACTATAGTATAGCATACATAAGCATTGTTCATATGAATTATATAAAGACATGTGAGGTTTGTTTGAAAAACATTTTCCCTGTTAGGTTTAAAAGGTAGGCTAAAGTCATAATATAAATGTAACCATTAATTAACAAAACTAAAGTAAAAATTAACGTTTTGTGTCATTGAATGTGCCTGTTTTTTTGTTTTTGTTTTTCCAGAGGGCCTGTCTTTGTCAGACACTCAGTTTACATTTAGTGAAGTAGAGTTGTTTGTTGCGTCTAGTGCCTGCCTCTAATTTATTTTTTATTAGACCAACAATTTAACAATAAATCATAAACTAACTAAAAAATAATACAATATATATATGCAATGTTATATACTGAGTTTTATTTACTGTACCTGTTTTATAATGCCAGCCGGCTCGTGTGGCGTATTTTTCATTTAGCCTAATATCTTCTGCCCAGACTTTCTGTATATTATTTAACTAACATAATAAAAAAAAAAACATATATGATGACCTGGATGAGTGAAAATACCAGGGACAAAGGCAGATTCTAACAGTTTTATATAAGTTTAAATGTAAAATTATTACATACATAGTGCATATATTTTACCCAAGAACAGCATTGCATGCATTATAGACTTCACTTTTCAGTTTAAAAAGGCATTTTGTATACTACAGACTGAAACTTTCTTTTCTCTTTTTCCTTGTTCTCATAGAAGATCATAAAACTTAGGACAAAAAAGGTCACAATTACAAAACAATATTCTATATACCAAATTGAAAAACAGAGGTGTTGATAACTGACATATATTTTCTCACATGTTTGCATCATCTGAGAGAATTTCTAAGACTGTTGTGTTCAATCAAGAGGCAAGGAGTTCCCAAATCCTGATGTAGATCATCATGCAAGTATTGATGTAGAGAACCAGTCAAGTAGAAAGAAGCTCAGCAAGCCAGTAGCTATGCCAACATAGGTCAGTTGAGGGATGGATGCTGATGAGGTCACTAGACATAGGGGGGGGGGGGGGGGGAAATCAACATCAAATTGCATCATGATAATGAAACATCATCATTAAGAAATATAACTATAAGGTTCTTATTGTGTTCATTAAAATGAGGTGTCGGTAAAGAGCATTCTTACATCTAGCGGGCACAAGGCCACCTGCTGGAAAAATAACAGAGAACATTTAAAGTAACTTTAGTTATTATATATATATATTATTTATATTGTTTCTGGAGTTTATTTGTAAATATAGGATGATTCTTTGTACCATTGTCAACTCTGGTTGTGATTGGTCCTGAGGTGACAGTGGCTACATCATTAGAGGGGTTCTCTGTAGGGTTTACTTGTCTTACTTCTCTCTTCCTTAAGCATCTCTACAAAACACACAACCATAAACACACAAGTCGAACCAAACAAAATCTAAATACAAAAAAATACAATAAAATAAGAAAATGAATAAATGACATTATAGCATCATAAATGAGTGATTAATTACCGGAAGCAAGTTGGCGCAAGATGAGTTCTCACAGAGTCGGGTAACACAATGCAGGTAGAAAGTGGAGGTGGTCTGGTTCTTATGTTCCACAAAGCGGAAAGCCTCAAAAGAGAACCGACCTTCTTGGGATATCCCGTTTAACTCGATTACTGTCTGGGGATCACGAGTACACCTATACACAACAATAGATGTGGTTCTCACAAGAGTGTTTTGTCTTCTTAAACACTCTCTTTTTTTAATAAATGACTCACCCGACAAAAAGATCATAGGAGGTGCTGCTGATTGGATATGGGTTTGTTGTGGCATAGCAGCGGTCCAGCAACACATTGAACCTTAAAATACACAATAAGACAGAGAATTAGATTTGATTGATCTATAAAGGTATAATCAGCATTTTTTCAGATAATTTTCAGATTCATACATTCAAGAGTTACTGTCATTGTCAACTAAAGACTAAGACTATTGATATAAACGTAAATTGAAATAAAAGCTGAAATAAAATCAAATATACATTTTAGGTGAAACACTTAAACTTAAACAAAAAATAAATAAATTTTGAATAACATTGAACAAGTGAATAAGTTTAAGTTTTTTTAACTTAATATATACTTTTTTAGCTATTATTAAAACTGATTGAGGTTAAAAAAATACAATCACAAAACAAAATTAACTTTGAAATGAAAATATAAAAATAAAAGCTATTTAAAAATATGGATAAAAAGTAGCCTAAATACAATAAAAGTATATAAATAATTCTAAAGTAAAACACTGGAGAGTTGCATCCTTACTTGTTTGTGAGATTTGTTGCCTTGACCTTCACATAGATGCGAGTTTTCAACATAAGCCCAGTTCCTGGTATCTGTAGTTTGCTAGTATAGTTGGCAGTCTAATGTCGGAAAGAAAGGGAGGATGTCAAGAAAGTCGCATTTACTAACTCAAGTGTAAGTGTAATTTAATGAAAAGATCCTCACACTGAAAAGACTCATGCTTAGAGTGCTGATGAAGGTGCCGTTGTTATCCTTTACAGCTAGACTCACTCCTGACCTGTTGGCATGAAAACATGCTTTAGTCATGAAAGTTACAGCACAGAAACGTCAACATAGACAGTTCCTTGCAATATATACTCACACGCTGAGCTCGGTGTTGTTGATTAAATACTGGAGCGGATACAGGCATGAAAACTGGTACATCAGTTGTTGCCTGTAAGTGATGCCGCTAACACTGGGATCCCAGGAATTGATTAATCCAGATATATTAACGTTCTGGACTTGGGAGAACTCTGAGAATAATCCTGTGCCCACTTGACTTGTGATCTAACCAACAAACATGCCAGACACACACACATATACATTTTAGAAATCTGTGGCATTCAAAGTTTACAAATTGATTGCTTTAAAGTGAAAAAGCTTGTACATTCATATTGTTGCCACAAAGGGTGAGCGCATCCTGGGAGATCGAGAAGTTAAACATCAAGACGGGAGGATTGGCAGACCAGTCTGCTACTCCACGGCAGGCTGGGATGTTAAACTTAGCATTGAGGGCCATTAGAGATTCGTTGTATCCCCCAAAATACATTGGACACAGGAAAACTCTTAAAGACATCTGATCGGTTCCACAAGTCACTGTCATATCGGCATTTTCTGAAAGATTAAAAAATATACAGTATATATTACTCAAGATTCTGTAATCATTTTCTACAAAATCATTTTGTTTTCTAGTGAAAATATCAAAGTATCCTAAAAACAAGTTACTTGTATTTGAGAAGTATAATTGCCTAAGATCATTTTAATTTTGTAAGATAACATTTTTTTTAAGAAAAGTCTTCTAAAACAAGACATTTTTATCTTATATATATATATATATATATATATATATATATATATATATATATATATATACCTGTCAAAAGCTTGGAAACATTTAACATTTTTCATGTTTTTGAAAGAAGTCTTTTATGCTCACTATAGCATCATGTATTTAATAAAACAAAATACAGTTAAAACAGTAAGATTGCAAATTATTATTATCATATTAAAATAACTTTTTTTTATATGAATATTTTTTAAAATGTAATTTATTCCTGTAAAAGCAAAACTGAAGTTCAGTGTCACATGATCCTTCAGAAATTACTCTAATATGCTGATTTGCTGCTCATTACTTCTTATTATTATCAATGTTGGAAATGGTAATACTTTTTTTCTTTGATGTTCAATGAACAGGATTTATTTCCATTTCTTAAATGCATTTATTACATTTATTATAGCATTTATCAAATAGAAATCTTTTGTAACATCACTTAACTGACACCGTCACCATCCTTGCATACTTAATGAATAAAAGCATTCATTTCTCACTCTACCACAACTGATTGAATGGTATCATTATTACCACAAAAATGTTATGCAGCAAAAACTATTTTCAATATTGATAATATAAATAATAAAAAAAGCAATTTCATGTGACACTGAAGACTCACAGGAATAAATGACACTTTTAAATGTATTCAAATAAAAAAATATTTCACAATATTACTGTTTTTACTGTATTTTTGATTAAAAAAAAAGCAGCCTGGGTGAGAATGAGAGAGTTAAAAAAACGTGTAATGTTTCTAAACTTTTGACAGGTTCTGTGATCTGAAATATGGTCTTTATGTTATGCAATTTTGCTTCTCAATTAAACCTTTATGCAATTTTAATGTACATTTAGATAATATTTATTGGATAACAAGACAAATCATCATAAATCAGATTTCGGCACTGTACATATACAGAAAGAGTAATATAGCCACTGACCTGCCAGTCTGTATGTAGGGTTCGTAAGGCATGCTGAAAGACCCTGAGCCTGACCTTCACACTGTAGAAGGACACCAGCGAGACACAATAACTGGAGCAGCCTGATCATCCTGAGACAAACTAAAGAAGACAACCCATTAGAAAATACACAAACCAAAGCAGCAAATACATTTCATCTATATAAAGTATTTTAAATAAAAGTCTTCTCACACCACTGTTAAAACATTTGAAAGAAAAAAAAATAGATGTTACCTTTTGGATGCACAAACTCTTGATGAGGAACTTCTCCTTCCTTTCTTCCAGATTCAGTATTTATACAGAGGAAAAGGGTGTGAGAGAAAACTTGACAAAGAAGAGAGCAACACGAGACTCTCCAGTGATCTTTTCACTGATAGCAATTCAGATCTGGTAACTAAGTTTACAAAACAATTTTGTCATCAGTATTGCTGACTGAACAGATAGTTCAGGGCAACAACTGAAACTGGAGTGTGTATAGCAACCATCAAAATTGGTTTATCTATACAAAATCCAATTCATTTGGCCAGTGAAAACATTGGAATTGAATTTATTTGGTACTTTTGTCAGTTAAATAAAGGTTAAAGAAGATTAACAAATCATAGATTATTATTACAGTTGACAAAATGTCCCAGATTTTCTGGATTTGGGGTTGTATTAAAATGATTTGTTATAATTTCACTTAGTTTTAAATTTACATTTTAAATTAATTTACTCCCCTTAACGTCATTTCAAACACGTACGAACCTGTATGAAAAAATGAATGAGGTGGAGGGTGAATGACGTCCCAGGTCGCTGAAGACCCGAGGTACGTTTAAGTGTAAAAAGATGATATTTAGAAAATTTTTGTGTTTTTTTGTTTGTTAATTTGTTTTTGTTTTTTTTGTGTACATAATATGAAAGTAAAAAATAACCCAATTTCCCCCCTTCAAAATATCAGGGTGACATTCAGGGAGAGTAGATGACACATTTTTTTTCAATTAATTTTTGGTTGAATTATCCTATGAATTTGGTTGAATTAAATTCCTATGAATTATCCTGAATTAACAAATTAAATAGAGTATTTAGACATAACTATTTGATATTAAATATAAGTGTATTATATGAAAACTAACATCCCTATTTTTAAATGTGTTTCCCACTCAATCCATAATGAAATATACTTTTACAGTGGTAGATAATGTTTGACGGGTGTAGTCACTTTGTGGTCAGGTAGAGCGTTAAAGAAGGGTGTTGGTCAAGGTATTTTAGAGATAGAATTTCTCTTTATGAATATACTGACACTAATGCTATACATAGTTAAACACTTATTTCAACAAAAAGCTGGCCATGCACCGTTCCTTTCTCAGGTCAGCAAACACATACAGGACATTCTCCTGATGAAACCGAGCACCTTTTCAAAGACTCTTCCAGGACATAAAAAAGGGAATTCCTCTTGTAGAGGCAGAACAATGATCCTCAAAGAGTTTCCCCAAAATAGTTACAAAATGACACTTTTGGTATTCAACAATTAGTACATCACACTTTTTTTTTTAAATAAATGTATAAATAAATGGGGTATTTCATACCCTATTTAACTTATAATTAATTTCCAGAAATTGGGTTTCCATACAGTAGTTTTGGTTAACCTGCGAGTATTCAGTGTATAGTTTTTAGTGTAGTGTAAAGAGGTGATATCAAACTTTATTTTGTTGTTAATGACATGTCAAGATTGCGTGCTTGTCTAACCCTTTAGCTTTATCCAGGTCAGGTACAGCAACTATTGTGAATAAAACTATGAAATAACATTCCTTTGTTTTCTGATTGACCTCTCTTTTTGTTGAAAATATCACATCCCAGAGGATTTGAAATTATCAACCGCTTTGCTTTGTCTGGTGCACAAGGGTGTGTCGATTTTCAGTACCAACTTTCTGTTTGAGCTGAACTCATCACACCCTCTATACAGTACCTGCATCCCTTTCTTAAGACTTTAAGTTTCCTCTTTCACATATTGTTTTCAGTGTATGTGGACTGGTTGTCTTACTAACAGCGTGTACAGTACACTATTGACAATTGTGACAGAGTACTGCACTGTACATGATGTAAGGCCTTGTCAGGTCTCTGTCTGACTGACATGGTTTGACACAAATATGCCACCATGTGGACACTTGTTGATGTGGCATCTTTTACAATGATACAGCAGTGCAATATGGGTCAGCTGTTGCCAACTCAATAAGAAATGTATAGCCTAATAATAAAATAAAATAAATATTAATAATAAACGATATTAAGATGAATAAATAAATTTATTCATTAAAATTTTAAAAATTCATACATTTATTCTGGGATTTTTTGTGACCACACAGAGTCAGGGCCTCAGTTTAACTTCTCATCCGAAGGACAGTCTCATCTAACGTCTCATCCAAAAATCTTGCACTTTATCATCACTTGCCAATATCATTCCAAGTGTAGTGACCATAGGGTAGTGACATGACCAAAATAATTGAACCACTGTTTTAACAGAATTCAAACTAAAAGGGCATGTTATCTTATTGTCAGATTTAAATATTTGCATACATTTCTTAACAGGATATATTTATGAGCTTAAAAGGAAATTTTGTTCACTTTATTTGTGAGAAAGAATTTCTGCACGCAGTATGACCCTATTTTTTCCAATTAAACGTTAACAAACAAATTATTCCAAAAGGAAAGTGGCAGGTGGAACAGAAATCAAATAGTTAAAAAATAAATATCTTATTTTATAGGTTTTCAGCTTTCGACTCAGAAAACAGATTTGACCAACAGAAGTAGGAAGGTTTAGGAAAGGATGCAGTAGGAGGAGTAATTCGTTCTTAAAAGGCATACATAAACCATTACCAGAGGGAATAGCTCATACTGCACATTAAAATTCTTTTGGGGTTATCAAAAAAAGAAACTATGTGATGACACTGAAGGGCTTCCTTCTTTCTGGCATAATTTAATGGGGCATGACGTCACGTGTGTGCTAGAAAACACCAGTAGGCCTAAACAAAAAGGCTGGGTAGGTATCTCAAATCAAATGTATGTAGGTTATTGTTAATTTCGAAGGCGGCGTCCTCCGTTGAACAGTCAAAACAGTTGCTAATCATTATAAAATTCACCTTTATTCCCAGCGAAGAGTAATTTGGAGTAATTTTGACTGTGGAATGGTGGATGCGGCCGACATGCAACTTCCGGAGGACGCAGCCTTCGAAATGAGACTCATTTACATATTATAATGTTTCATACATGTGGTTTCAGAAACCGCAAAAGTTAGATTTATACTGCGCAGTGCGCACCGTTCGGAAAAAGAGCTTACCTGAAGAGGTAACTAACCCATAGCGTTGGACCCAACAGCGCCATCCACTGCCAGTAACGTTAAGCCCTCGTGTCCTCAAATGTGACAATTTTTGTTAAAAAATTGGTTTGTTGTACTGATATTATCATAAAGGGTGTTCTTTTCTTACTCACGGGGTTTTCTTGCGACCGTAGTCTGTTTTTTAGAAATGCTATACAAAGCCGACACTGGAGTAAAATAAAATATTGTTTTCTTCATCTTTCACCATGGCCAATAGATTTTCATTGCATTGACCATCCATTTTAACTGGATTTCTGATTAGTGCGAAACTACTCTGAATCACATGGGAATGTTCTGGAACTCCATGGATCGATACTTTATTATATTTACTTTCGGTTGTGTTATAGTTATAGGCTGAATTCCGCAGGCAAAATCTCTATCTCGGAACGCTTCAGCGACCGTGCGATGTGATTGGCTGCAGCGCTCGTTCCATCAGGTTCTGGACTGTTCTCTCAGGAAGTCTTAAAAGCGCGTAACCGCACATCAGCACAGTTCTGCAGCAGAGAGATCACGCGCATTTCGAGCTGCGACACAGCAAGTGATTGACAGAGTCAGCGTTTTAATCTGGTGAGAATTATCACGATTATTATTATTATGCATTAATAGTAGAAGGAATTATATTTATATTTTATATATATTTATATGGATATAAACTAATTTTACAGTTGCTAATGATTGTCAAGATATACAATACCAAAATGGACCACCAGTTTTAATCGCCCATATTATTTTGATTGTTTTATCATTTATGCACCCGATTTGCATACTTAACCATCGATAGCGTGGAATGTGTAACATTATCTAGAGAGCTGTAATAATTCATGACATTTGAACGTCCTTGCAGTATTGAGTAACGTTACGTGCGCGCGTGCTAGATGATTCCAGAAAACACTCCCATTTTCTTCCAATTCCGAAAGCTCAATGCTCACCGAAATCACGAATGTTGCATAATAGTTTGGCGCAAACGAGGAAACGGAGCATTCGACTTTCCCTCAGGTGTAATTTAGTCAGTTATTCAGGTTACTCAAAACGGAAAATGTACTTTTCTCAAAAGGAGAGGAAAGTAAATGGTTCTGAGGCTGTTATTCTGTCTGACAAATTTAGTGTACAAATATAAACAAAAGGTCCGGAACGAAATTAGTCAATGATAATGTGTTTTAAACTTTGTAAAGCGAAAATCGCATCAGTGATGAAACAGAATTGATGATCAAGCTGTTGTGAAGTGCTTTCCTCAGCTCTGTTTGAGTTTGACGTCGCATCCTTTAACACAGTGACAGCTGATCTGCTCTGGTTCATGCAGCAGGCCACAGGATCTTGTGTCTTGTGTGAGTCAGAAAAGCTTTTGAGTGAACAGTCACAACGTTAAATATATTTGAGCTATGAATAGTTATAAATAAAACCTATCCCTTAATTGGAAGGCTTGGGTTAAATGCCTAAAATATGTTTCATTATAAATATTATTAACCGTTGACATAATGTCTGTTTGCTGCCAGCAGAAACCATGTCAAAGGGACCAGCAGTTGGGATTGACCTAGGGACCACCTACTCCTGTGTGGGGGTCTTTCAACATGGCAAAGTTGAAATCATTGCCAATGACCAGGGCAACAGGACCACACCAAGTTATGTAGCATTCACAGACTCTGAGAGGCTGATTGGAGATGCTGCCAAAAATCAAGTAGCAATGAACCCCACCAATACAGTCTTTGGTAAGTGATTTTATGGATGCTATACATTTAAGATTGTTTTTTAAATGGACCTGTATTGACTAATTTTGGTTACTAAATGGTGCATTTTCCTGTAATTTTACAGTTTAGATTTAACTTTAAACACACTCAAAATGTTGAAAAAACACTGGTAAATGAAATCGTAAACACATCTCAAAATGTGTATCAATTTGTCATATTAATATTGTACATTATAACAGTACAATGTAGTTGCTGAGATTGTTGCCATATTTGTTTCTCTAGATGCAAAAAGGCTTATTGGACGGAGGTTTGATGACACTGTTGTACAGTCAGACATGAAGCATTGGCCATTCACTGTTATAAATGACAACACACGCCCCAAAGTTCAAGTTGAATACAAAGGGGAGACCAAGGCCTTTTACCCAGAGGAGATTTCTTCCATGGTGCTTACAAAGATGAAGGAAATTGCAGAGGCATACCTGGGAAAAGTAGGTTTCTGTCAAATACCTTGCCCTCATACTCACCATACTGAAAACAAAGAGAGCATCATTTTATGCAAACACCTGTGTTTGCAATAATGGTGTTGAGAATGTTGCTGTGATAGGTCTAAAGAGGTTGACAATGACATGTTCAACCTGTCGAATTGACTCGTGGCACTATATTAGTGAATGAAGGCCTGTTTGAAAAACACATCTGAAACATTTGAAGAGAAAAGTGCCTTCTGATTTAGTGGATCAAAACTTTGTACAATGTTACATTTCACGAAAAGTATGAATCTGTTTTTGCAGACCATTACGAATGCTGTTGTTACGGTACCTGCTTACTTCAATGACTCTCAGTGCCAGGCCACAAAGGATGCTGGGACTATCTCTGGTCTCAATGTTCTACGAATTATCAATGAACCGACTGCTGCTGCCATTGCCTATGGCCTGGACAAGAAAGTAAGATTGTTACTTTTACAATTCAGCAATATTAAAGTGTGCATATTATGCTTATTTAAAAGTTCATCACTTTATTTTTGGGTATCTTCAAGAATACATTTACATGATTTAATAAAACAAAACATCTTTTACGTACTGTACATTGCTGCACCACCTCTTGTCACCATCAGCCTGTTGGTGTTTTAGTTCCTGTTTCTTTAAAGCCCATCTTCTGAAACACACTGTCTACTCTGATTGGTCAACTGATGGTCAGAAATGTAACTCCCCTTACCATAATTGGGATTCAACTCCTGAGGTCATGGGATTAAACGATGCATGCTGATGAATAGTGTTTTAATGGACCAAAGCTAACAAAGACTTTCTGGGTTGCAGCATAAATACCTGTAATATATTAATTATCATTGCCTAATTTCAGGATTTTCATGGATTTCATAGATTCATGGATGAATCTATCTTTTAAAAATCGTTAAACATTCAAATGTATGCATTACACTTTAAAAGATTAGAAATAAG